AATAATAAATAATAACAGTAATGACGATGACGTGGCAGGATGATTAGAATGATTAATGAAGTTTAATGAAAACAAGTTTGTGAAAGTGAAAGAAGATGAAAATGAAAATAGAACTGGATAGAGGAATGACGCCGGCGGTGATTGGTGACCAAAAGATATGTGAGCAATGACCATCAGTGAATTTGATTTGAAAAACGAGATTTTCTATGTACAGGTGTCCCGATATATTGGCATTACATCGAATGTGTCCATTAATAATAATGATAATAACAATAACAGGTTGCGGATTCATAACCGGACATTGATATAAAAAGAAAATGAAGGTCATTTAATTTTATGCACATACTTATTTGATGCTTTCACTTATTTACTCACCTAAAAATTTATCTTCCTTATTCTGATCCATTAACCTTTGTCATCTTAACCCATAAAGTTCTGTTGAAAACAAATTAAATGACTAAAAATTGAAGTAATGCTAATTAGATGCTTTTTTTTTCTAGGTATAGGCACCTTATTTTTATTCAATCTACAGAAAAAGATGTCAACTTTTAAATGATTTGAATTAGGCAGAAATCATCATACATAATGATTCCACTAGCTGTCATTATTAAAATTACAGTGACAATGAAATGTGACAATAAACTTATTAAATTATAAGTTAGTTGCAGCAATATGTACAACTTACACATCAAATATATGAGAGCTTTTTTTCAGATGCCTTTTGATTGATTAGTTTATCAATGCTTAGAATTTAATTGATGAAATTATTATTGGAATTAACCAACTTGAAATTCATCCTTTTAATCGATCTTCAATTTCTAAACATATTTAAGGATTACAATTTTCTTTTTTTTTTGACGAAGAACAAAACTTGCCTGAACTATACAAGAACGTCAATCATAAACGATGATTAATTTCATTATACGTTGTTGATCATATTTGCTTCAATAATTTTGCTTTCAATCACTGAACACATCCAAAATAATCAAATAAAAACTGAAATTGGAAGATTGTTATAAATAGATTTGAAAAATTTTTGCGACAAACTTCTTTACGAACTTATCATAATTTCAAAAATTAATTAAAGACAACATTAAATATGAGTATACTGATAAATAACTTCCTAATAATGTTTTGCAAAACATTTTTTATATCTTAGAATTAAAAGAAAAGAAAAAAGTTTTTTAAGTTTAAATTTAAGTTAACTTTTAAAAAAAAAGTTTATTAAAGTTTGTTTTTTTTTTTTTGATTTTAATATACATGATGATTTTCGATAATCCTACTACATGTAATAACTCATAATGATTCTAATGCATTCTGATAATTCTGGATAATTCCAAATATTAAATGAAATCTGGATGATGATTCATTTATTCGAATCAAATCCACTACCATTCTTCCCATTCATTTCTTTTTATCATTCATCAAAATAAAATTATCGAATAATACAGGAAATTATACTGCACATAGTACGAGAAGTGAAAGTCTCGTAGTGCGCAAATTGTGATGATAAATGGTAAATTACAAGGTCATTACTGTATGCGCATATGTCATTGTATGTGTGTGTATGTGTGTGTGTGTGTGTGTGTGTTTTTTCCTTCTTTGGTATTACACTTTACATTTGCACCTTAGACATAATCAGAAAAAAGGAACCCATCGAAACAGTATATCCATGTTTTGGGCAAGATGTCTAATATTGGGTGTAAATAGTTACACACCTGTCCTGTTCAGATGTATAGAATATGAGAATTAGCCTTGAAATAACAGGTAGAATTGGAAGGAAGAAGGATGAAGCGAAAGTACAATCAAATGAAATAACAAAATGAACGAAGGAATAGGCAAAAGAGTTGATGG